CGTGCACAAAAAGCAACTTGCCCTGTACTGCATGGTTGGTAAAGAATACAGTGAAAAAACTGCTGAACACCCATAAACAGATCAATGAACTATTGAACTGATAGTTGAAAAATCAGGTCTTTGTTCACAACTGGCAAACAGGGCATGAGCTGAACCAGCTGGTGTTCATGCATCACTAGTTCAAATCCCTACTTGGCCTTGAAACTCTCTTGTGACTTGAGGGCCCCTGCCACACGGCAGGAAAAAACACGGCTAAAGTGCGGCTATTCAGAGCCGCACCAAAAAAGACATGCGGCGGCGGGATGACACAGATCCCCTGAGCCGCCGCGCCATTGCTCCCCAGCACGATCAGATGCCGGGGAGGAAGCCACCGACCGGAGACCGAGGCAGCCGGCTGCGCATGTGTGCGCATGCGCAGTTTGGCTGGGAGCCTCAGATGCGCCCGCAGAAGGATGCGCCGGCGATCCCACGGCCGCACTTGCCGTGGCCTTTCTGGTAAGTCCACCTCTGTAGTGGCTTATTTTAAAAGCGGATTTTCGGCCTGAAGGGCCGGATCGGGGACGGGTGCGCGCCGCTTCCCAGATGTTGCGGTGAGATCACGCCTGTTTGCTGCGCCGCCGATCTATCCCTCTCCCGGCCCAAAACCTTCCGTGTGACCGGGGCCTATGTTTGTCACTTAAACTAACCTGTGACTGGAGGATCATAGAACCATGTACATTGTTCTCAGTTAATTGGAGGAAGAATGGAATAAAAATTAGATAGTCAATCAACTATCCAATCATTTGGACTCCAGCTCTTTATTTCTATAATGGGTTTCTTTTATTATCTCTGTGGATATATTCATAACTTGTGGGGAACAGCATGCTTAATTTCTTCTCTTTCTTGTTCCATGGCAGTGAATGCTCAAGACAATGAAGACCATGTTCCTCTTCACTTCTCCTCTCGCTTTGGGCATAATGACATAGTAAAGTTCTTGCTCCAAAGTAATTTTGAAGTCCAGCCTCATGTGGTTAATATTTATGGAGACACCTCTCTGCACCTGTGAGTTAAGAGCAATACAGGCATTCCTTCTTCATTTTAATTGGCAGTCAACCCACTCTTATTAATAAAAACACTTACTGACTTTTCCCCCCTTTCCTAGTGCTTGCTACAGTGGAAAATTTGAAGTTGTGAAAGAATTAATTCAGCTGTCAGGAACAGAAAGTCTCACCAAGGAGAATATATTCAGTGAGACCACCTTTCACAGGTAGGCCATTGTATATGTGTTACCCAAAGAGGCAGTCTCCTATTTAATTGGGGGAAATTAGCTTTAAAGGAGACAAAGTGAGAGGGAATAACAGGGATGCTCCCCTCTATGTTTATGGGGATTTTTCCTCTAAAGAGAACTCTCAAAATAAACTAGGCCGATGTTCAGCCGGAATGAAATGGAAATGGAAATAGAAATGGGCAAAACACACATACATAAACACTGAAAACACACACAAGGCTAGCTAAAAGGAAAGTAGGGAGGACAGAGGAGAGAGCAATTTTGTGGAAGGCTAAAGTTACCAGTCTAGACTAAAGATGTCCATGGAAGCAGCAGCAAAATGACTAGCGTTTCATGGAGAACAGGAGAAGACCCACATGCAATTGGGGGTGTGCAGAGGATCCAAGGACACACACACTGCTATGGAGCAAGATGTCAAGGTCTGGGGTGCAGGCAGAGGGAAGTCCAAGTTCAGTCCAGGGTCTTGAGCCAAAAGGAGTGGAGCAGGAACCGAGAGCGAAAGTCCAGATCACAAACCAGGAGTGAGGTCGTTCAAGCCAGAGTCAGAAGCTGGAGAAGGGTAGCAGGAACCGAGAGTGAAATTCCAAATCACAAACCAGGAGCAAGGTTGTTCAAGCCAGAGTCAGAAGCTGGAGGAGAGGAGCAGGAACGAGGCCTAGAAACAGGAGGTGGAGTAAACGCAAGGCGTCGCAGAGTTTGACGAGTTTGCTTTCACAAAGGAGCCAGCTTAGCGCCTGAAGCTAAATAGCCCTCTGCTGCTGTTTCCAATTAGCACAGCAGCACCAGCAGCCGAGCGTCTGTCAAAACTCAGGACTAATGGACCGTCTGCTCTGCAAATGAGCTATACATCATCTCATTGCTAAGTCCTGCAGGAGTTGTTCTTGTAAGTGAGCAACTCTCAGGGGCAAGTCGGGAGGGCTTTCCATCTGTGGCTGCTCCTCATCAGCTGTTTCTGAGCCAGGTACCAGTGTGGGCGGTGATGGCAAATTGCCAATTTCTGCAGCTTCAAAGGGGCCAGCTGTGGGTTCTGCTGGAGCTGGCAACGGCCCTTCCTCAGCACCCATAACTCAAGATGCCACACTTTATTGGGCAAAATGCTCCCTGGGGCGACATATCCACCCCCAAAACAGTAACTTGATGGTTTGTTCAGAGATGGACAATGATTTGGTAGAAGCTTGATGGGTTGGGTTTTTTGTAATTTTTTTAAATTTTCAATATAAATATAAACAATGTGTTGACATACAACTTGTAATATTAACAATACAATATTAAGGAATCCAAATATCAACACTAAACAAACTCTCTGAGTATAATGATGAGTTTTCATTAGGTGAACTATAGGAGTGGATGGTGCTTGATGACCCTCTAAGTACCAGATGGGGAAAACTACCAGGTTTTGTGAACAGTGTTAAGTGTTGCTTAATTAGGGTAAATGGGTGCAGAGAAGTGAGGCTGGGCATTTGGAGATTAGTCCAAGGTGAGGCAATCTGTCTTTGGAGACCCACTGCCTTAATTCTCTCTCTCTCTCTCTCTCTCTCTCTCTCTCTCTCTCTCTCTCTCTCTCTTTCTGGTGGGGCGGAGGTCATTAGCTGGCCAGCTGCTCTTACTCAGACTTCTAAAACTATATGCCCAAACTGGTCTCTGGCTGACATCCATTTTCTGGCATTTTGGGCCAGGCAGTGCATTGCACTTATGATATTTGAAAATATATTTGAGGAGGGGTGTTTATGGTTGTCTAGCTTGACATACATGCCCCAAAAGTTCCAATTTTAGGAGCCTGCAGGACTGGCCTGCCATCACTGGCATAGCTACAGCTACAGAACAGGCAAAATAGGAAAAAGCCCAGTAGCACCTTTAATACTAACCAACTTTATTGTAGCATAAGCTTTTGAGAAACACAGCTTTCTTTGTCTGACGAAGAGAGCTGTGTTTCTTGAAAGCTTATGCTACAATAAAGTTGGTTAGTCTTAAAGGTGTGCTACTGGGCTTTTTACTATTTTGCAGCAACAGACTAACACGGCTACCTCCTCTGGATCTAGAACAGGCAAAGAATGTAAAGGGAGCATAATTTTTGAAGACAAACAGAAAGAGGCAGGAATTTGTAGAAAACAGAGAGGCACAAAAAGGGAGGCAGGAGCCCTGGCCATGCTATCCCAGTGCCTTCCCACTGAGCTATTCCTCTCTTGTCAATATGCTCTGCCTGGCCCCATGTGGCCAATGGTGATGTCATGGCTGCAGTGCAGTACCTACTGCCTGATGGTATCCTTGGCCCAGTGGTTAGATGCTAGTCTTGGGTGTGGGGGGCTGTGGATTTGAACCTGCTCTCTTTTAAAACTTTTTTTCAGGCATCAAGCAGAGATGGTTGCATGTGGGCCACACTTTTGCTGCCAGTCAGACCCTTACTGGGGGAGGGATGACATCCTGTCTGCTGCACGGATGCCCTTTCTCTATGGGCTGGGGAGCACTAAGGCAATGTGCCTCTTTTGGGGTTGCGAAGATGCTGCTGTGTCTTTCTTCCCTGTCCACTGACTCTCAGTAGAAGTGAGTGGCATTGAGAGGCAGTGGCTGGAGCAACAGGCAGTGTTTGGCTGTGCCTATGTGGGCCACTCAGAGGGAACTCTTTGGGTGCAACTGCTTGGATAGTAGGTGTTGGCAGGGTTGCTATGGACTCCGGTGCACTCCCTATGCTCCACCAAGGAACATGTGTAGTTATTTCTCCCTGCAGAATGTTCATACAGAGTGGACCAGTGACACCATTTTTATGCTGGTAGCTGGCTGCAGTTGCCACAGTGACCCTCAGGGTTGGGCTGCCCACATTGCATGTATTCCTCCTCTGCTATTCTTCCATTCAAATGTTTTTTTTAAAAAAAATCATAGAAAAATCACAAAGTCCATATCATATGGACCAGCTTTTATCCCCCTCCCTTCGAATTGTCATATGAGCATATCAGAGTCGTGTGCTGTTGTAAAGGTTCAAAAGATGATTCGTAAAGCATTCTGTATATTAAATGTGCTGAAGAAATGGTAATTACTATGGTAACATTGATTTTGGTCTTTCAAACATCTGGAAAGTATTTCTTATTGAAGTGTGCTAGAGATAAAATTTCTAATTGTGTTTCCCAACACCCTCCTTAATGATCAGAGTTCTACAAGAATGTTATGGATTTCTAGAAAGACTTTGTTCTTCCCAGCTGTTATAGATGCATAATATAAGAAGGATATAAATGAAAAAAATACTGGATCACACAAGCACAATTGTTAGTGTCTCATACAAGAGCTGGAGGTTGATAAGTTACAAAATTTCCTCTCTACATAACAGAAGGATGATGCAATTGTACACAACTGATTCATAAAAAAATTGTATTCACAGCTTTTTTGACTTCATTACTTTTAAAACTAACACTATATTGGCATGCCTAGTATTGTGATAAATATAAACTGTAACATAGCAGAATGTGTTCAGCATTTGTTTGTTTATTCAAATAAATAAATGTTCTCCCAATGGGGACCCAAATGGGGGTGTATAGCCTTCTCACTCATGTGTGCACTCAAGCACACACTGTAGATATATAAAACAGTGCCAGATTCTCAGTACATATGTATCCGTTTCAAAGTAGTCTGACCCTCTCTGGAGAGTCTTCCGATGGCATTTATGTGAGCAAACCCTTGAATTTAAGGAGCTATTTGTGTATTCATTGGTTTTTAAGCATTTAATAATTGACTTTTCTTGCTTCAGAATGGGTTCCATAAAAACACACAAGATAAGTATTAAGTAATAAAAAAACTGATTGCATGATAAATGCATGTTGTCGTTCAGTCGCACAGTCACATCTGACTCTTCGCGATAATGATAAATGCATACTGAGAATTAAAAATCAGCAAGTGCCTTTGAAGATAAATAGATTTTATACCCTATACTGGTGATAGGATAGGAAGACAAACTGTGGCCATCATTGAAGAAGTGATTACATAGGGTCAGTGGGGCAAGCACAGTAAAGGCCCTGCTTCTTCCAGGTGAGGTTCTTACTTTGACACTGAATGCGGGATGGCTGAATGTAAATGTCATGAAGGCTCATACATGTACATTGATACATCCAAAGATTTTCTACTATGCTGAACCTCTGTGACATGATTATAATGTTTATGAATTATTATATGAGCATTTTAATTTGTATTAGCTATTATTTTTTAATTTTTTTATTTGTGCAGTGCTTGTACCTACGGCAAGAACATAGATTTGGTGAAATTTCTACTTGATCAGAATGTGTTGAGCATTAATCACCAAGGAAGAGATGGACATACAGGTAAGATGGTGAAGATGGATGGATGTGTGTGAGAGAGACTCAGAGAAAGAATAATTCAATAGATGCTTATTTCAAAAAGCTGGGTGCACACCTTTTCATTTGGTAATATATTGGCACCATATTTTCTTAACTCTTTGAAGACAGTCACTTCCAATGAAGACACTAATGAGTTTCCACCTAGGCATTTCCTGTATCCTCACTACATAACATGCTTTTGGGCACTTTCTTTAATGTACAACATGGCTTGGTCTGTGAGGGTTCCTTCCTTCTTTGCCACATAGGATAAATACTGGCATGTATCAAAAAACAAGGAAAGACTGGTTACTGTGGAATAATATCTGTTCTCAGAGACAAACTTTGTTTGATAACAAATTTATTTTTCAAGGAAATCAATTTACAAGCATTATAACTCTAAAAACAGGGGTTCCACAAAGACTTGTGGGGACATCTAATTTCCCCTCTCCCACTGTTCATTCTTTCCCTTCCCTGACAGCCCCATGCTCTCTTCCTGCTTTTTCTCCCCACACACCAGCCAGTCTACCTTTATATGCCCTGCTGTCTTCAGTTTTCTCTCCTTCTCTCCCCCAGCAGCCTCTGCCCTGGAAAACTATGGCCTAGTTGTGTGGTGGGGAATGCATAAGGAGTTGCAAGAGGCACATAATTTC